ATTTTGACTATTTCCTTCCAACATATTAGTTCTTCTATAAAATAGACTTATAAGTCGCATAATCACATTTGATAATTTAATAAGGATTATTTCACAAATAAAAAAAATCATAAGGATTACATAACAAAAAAAAAACTGACATATTAAGTTACTATAGCAGGTATCTTTGTGCATATTGCACTTAAAACTTATTGTATACTGTGAAAGAGACCCGGTACCAAACACGAAAAATCTGCCATTTCTTACTTCCAAGTAATTATAAAATGAAAATATCAAATATGTCTTTCAAATTTAAACAAATTGTTCAACTTTGATATCCACTTGTATGAATTCATTGAGACAAGTAATAACTTACTGTCTCTGTCTTCCTTTAGTTGTTTTTGTTCCCATCCAAACAAGGATTTTTGGTGTGTATTTAAAAAGAAAGTTCATGATATAGCCGATATCACAATAGTTTTAGTTATCATTGCATGTGATATGTTTTTCAAGTTTTATTTGCGACGTACAGAGCAATTCAACAAATGAGCATATGTGTATGTTCCCTTGATCTTTTTATTATTATTTTTTTCCATTTATCCTTTTTAGGAGGCTACTATTATTTTTATTTGAACAATATAGTTGCACCTTTTCTTATATATACAATTTATCCTTGAATCCATTTTTTATCCTTATAATTTTGTAAATTATAATGTTGGTCTTTAAAAAAAAAAATTACAAATTTGATCCTCATAATTTTTAAAATTAATATTGATTCACTTGTTAACAACACATTATCGAAAATTAAACAAAAAATATTGAAGTACCTATAAACTACACTACCTAGCAGTTACTTAATTATATTGAATTCCATGTGTTATGTTTCTTTTTTATTTTAATTAAAATTTATGATCTGTTAAAATATTTTAAAATTTTTAATACTATTATTTTTCTAGTTGATTAACTAACCACTAAAAATTGCATTTTTTTTAATTTAATTTTGGATAGCTTGTTAATGAGTAGATTAATATTGTTGAATTTAAAAAATTATAGAAACCAAATTTACAATAAAAAGATTGAAAGACTAAAATTATATATTTATGAAACTATAAGATTTTTTTTAAAAATGTAATGAATCATCACACTTTAATAAACTTAAATGCACCATTTATTTATTACGTAACTTTACATAAGTAATTTATTTTACCTGAAATATGGATATACTGCTAAAATATACATGTTTAAAAAGAAAAAAGTGATCGGTTGGAAGTTCAATTATTATGTATAGTTGTTTTATTCTTCTTATTATTTGATATATTTTTATAGTTTAATCTTTAAAATAACACTACAAGAAAATTTGTCTTTAGAGACAAAATTTTTAGTCTCTAAATTAACAAAATCAGTTACTATAAATCAATAAGTGACTAAATTAGATACCAATTATAGAAAGTAGTTAAACTACTGGTTGCTAATTTTAGCTACCAATCTAAAGTCTGATTTAAAAACTAATTTAATGACTAACTTTTTTATGACCGATTTTGTGACTAATTTTATAATGACCAACTTATTAACTTATTCTACAATGACCAATTTATTGACCAATTTTTAATGACCATCTCATTGACCAATTTTATAGCGACTGTTTTAATTACCAATCTTGCATATATATACAATCTACATAAACTACACCATTGTATACAAAATAATCCCTAATCATTGGTCAAACATCTATACAACAACCATGCTACATTGGAGTAGCATCACCAAAACTGGACCATCACCAACATGACCCTCCACCAACTAACCAAGCTATCATGCTAATTTTGTTTTGCTCTCATATCAAATATAATCATTACAATTCCAACAATAAAAAGAAAGGGTAAGCTTGTGAAAGAATTAACATAATAGTTCAACAATAGTTAACTCAAGTAAAGCATCAATTGAAATCATTCACCAATGATTTAAAGAAAACAAAATTAACAAACAACATATCATCATATAAGAAACTATGTATAGATGATAAACAAATTTCAAGAACATCTTAACACCTTCACAACTTCAAACACAACTAAAGAATAGCTAACAATAGAGCTATTATGAAATCACCAATTAATAATTACTAAACAACTTAACAACAAATGTATCGTCATGCAGAACATATAATGGAGATCTATAACAATGGTGAGTAGTCTAAGTGACTTGACCCTATTGAATTACAATTATTGGTATAAAACCAGAAACAACGGCTAGTTATGAAACACATCTTAACACCTTCACAACTTCAAACACAACTGAACAATAGCTAACAATAGAGCAATTATGAAATCACCAATTAATAATTACTAAACAAATTAACAACAAATGTATCGTCATGCAGAACATATAATGGAGATCTATAACAATGGTGAGTAGTCTAAGTGACTTGACCTTATTAAATTACAATGATTGGTATAAAACCAGAAACAACGGCTAGTTATGAAACTAGAAACAATGGCTAACACGAAGGTTAGATTGATTTTTAAGGTTTTTTCACTTAAACTATGAAAGTTTAGTACTAATGTTAGGGTAGAACAACTTGCGTGTAATCCTACCACAACCTTAGCATGCATATACTAAGCCTCCTATGGGATTATGTTGGTCTCGGGTAAAACATGAATCTAGAAGGGGGGTTGAATAGATTCTTCGCTTAGACGACTTCTAATGGTCTTTTAAACTCTCTTTTTAATTTCTTTCTTTCTTAGACTAATTGTAGTAAATCACATTCAGATTACTAATTCAATCAAGAATACAATTTATCATATTTAATACACAGCGGAACAAATTCTTGTAATCCAAATTGATTTTACTAATTACCTTCTTTCTTTATTACCAAATTGCATATAACATACACAGAATTTTCAAATCAGCAACTGATAATATTCAAGAAAATGTTTCTTTCACTTCTTGAAATTCATTTTTATCAATTCAACATGAATTATAACAATTTATGAAAGTAAACAGAGAATTTGCACAGTGATTTATACTGGTTCAACCATATAAAGGCCTACTGACCAGCGCCGTTCTTTCCGTCCTCGTCCTGGTCTCTCTGGACCACCGCTGCTTCCGACACCGCCTCGACCATCGGCATCGCCGTCCACCCCGTCTAAATCTCATTACAAAAAGCTAACTCATGAGGAGATGCTGGCTCGCCGTGAGAAAGGATTGTGTTACAACTGTGATGACAAGTTCAGTCCAGGTCATAAGTGCAAGGCTCGTTTCTTTCTGCTAGTTTCTGTTGATGATGAGGATGAGGACAGCAGGGTTGAGTCACCACGTTTAGAAACGGTTCCTAGCCTGCTCCATCTGGAAGGTGCAAATCTGGGCCAGAGTGAAGCCCAAATAAGTTTCAATGCCTTGGCTGGGTTACCAGCACCTGAAGCTCTCCGTATTGTGGGCCACATCTCTAACCAGCCCACTACTATTCTGGTAGATGGGGGTAGTACCCACAACTTTATCCAGGCCAGGGTAGCCCGTTTCTTGAATTTGGATGCTAAGGCCACTAACACTCTTAGAGTAATGGTTGGAAATGGTAGTGAAATTGAATGCCACAGTATTTGTCCAGGGGTGGAATTAAAAATTCAGGGCCATAAGTTTGTGGTGGACCTTCATGTACTTCCCATTAGTGGAGCTGACGTCGTTCTTGGCATTCAGTGGCTCAAAGATTTGGGCCCCATTGTTACTGATTACTCCCAACTCACTATGAAATTCATTAAGGATGGGAAATTTGTTGACTTGAAAGTTGATGCCCCTCCTAAGCCCAATGACTTACTAAACAACTTAACAACAAATGTATCGTCATGCAGAACATATAATGGAGATCTATAACAATGGTGAGTAGTCTAAGTGACTTGACCCTATTGAATTACAATTATTGGTATAAAACCAGAAACAACGGCTAGTTATGAAACACATCTTAACACCTTCACAACTTCAAACACAACTGAACAATAGCTAACAATAGAGCAATTATGAAATCACCAATTAATAATTACTAAACAAATTAACAACAAATGTATCGTCATGCAGAACATATAATGGAGATCTATAACAATGGTGAGTAGTCTAAGTGACTTGACCTTATTAAATTACAATGATTGGTATAAAACCAGAAACAACGGCTAGTTATGAAACTAGAAACAATGGCTAACACGAAGGTTAGATTGATTTTTAAGGTTTTTTCACTTAAACTATGAAAGTTTAGTACTAATGTTAGGGTAGAACAACTTGCGTGTAATCCTACCACAACCTTAGCATGCATATACTAAGCCTCCTATGGGATTATGTTGGTCTCGGGTAAAACATGAATCTAGAAGGGGGGTTGAATAGATTCTTCGCTTAGACGACTTCTAATGGTCTTTTAAACTCTCTTTTTAATTTCTTTCTTTCTTAGACTAATTGTAGTAAATCACATTCAGATTACTAATTCAATCAAGAATACAATTTATCATATTTAATACACAGCGGAACAAATTCTTGTAATCCAAATTGATTTTACTAATTACCTTCTTTCTTTATTACCAAATTGCATATAACATACACAGAATTTTCAAATCAGCAACTGATAATATTTCCACACTCTTAAATATAAGTCTCAATTACACATCACATGTCTAATGAATGTCCAATACATTTTTGAAAAGCAACCTTTTAGGAAGCGTGTAGTATGCTTCATAGCAAACACCACAAATGCAAAAGACAAACAGAATCAATAATCAATACAATAAAGCTTTTCAAAACCAATATACCCCTCTACTTAACCCAACCACCTTAGGAAGGCCTAAATGGCTATTTATGGAATGATTCAATATAGAGTATATGATCTTGCGAAGTCTAATGCACAAAAAGTTGTACAACAGTAAGCCTAATGAAGTGGTTAATTGAGTTATTCCATGTTTCTTAAGTCAACACAACAAAACATAAATATTAATCATGTGCTACCTTGAAAGTTAAAAAATATTAATCAGACACAGAATACTTGCCTCTAGTCACAGACTAATAATGGATTTGTACTAGTCCTCCTAAAAACTACCTTCTTAATTGCTTGCATTCAAATGAATGATGAGCAAATTGTATACCCCAACTTAATACATTTCATGTTTAATTTGCATATTAGAAATTTTCTAGTTATGTAAATTTACAAAAAGAAGTTCAACTTCAACAAATCTGTAACCAGAAATGGCGGCAATAATGAGCAAATAATAGTTCACTTCATTTGTGTCATTACCCTGATCCTGCAGGAAATAATGAACAAATAATAGCAAGTGAAAACAACAGTTCATGCTTCCTATATGACAAACACTGAAAAGAAACTTAAATGAACCAGGCCAAACACATAAACATACTAATGTTTGGTGTCTACGAGACCCAAAATAATGATCTATTTCAATGACTCTATGTCATTTAGAACACTTTCAACAACCAAGTGCATGAAGTTCATAAAACTACCTCAAGAAAAAAAAAACACCTGTGAAAATGCGTCAGTATATCCCCTTCGATCTGAATTTAGTCTATCATACATCCAACCACGACTTGGCCGAATATCCATCTTCTGTTGTTTATAAAAATATTATAATTAATATAAATCTAAAATGTAGTAATATACATTTAAGGTGCGAAGTTGGTGAATGTTTTGTCTTTATTCTTTGATTAGTTTGTTTTTGTTTTCATTCAAGAGTTGTTCTAAAGTGAATTCTTTTGTTCTCATGTATGCATTCGACTCCAAATTCATATAGAGGAATAGGAGGATCAGTTATTTTATAAAATGATTTTTGTATATTACAATTCTTCCTTTGAACCTAGAGAAACTCTGCCCAGACCATCCGTGAAACGATGAAACCATACATAGAGCTAAGCTAGAATTTCCTGTTTAAGGTAGGTCCGTTTGTAGACTCCAACAAGATCAGTATATTACAAGGGAAGTTTTTTACTCAATCTTATATGAAAAATTCTATGCAATTTCCTCTTGAAAAAAAAAATTATAGAATGCCTGGTGGCCTTCTGTATTAGTTACTAGGTTGTAACTAATACATCTTGAAAAAAAATACCTCGAGCACCACAAATAATGAGAAAAATAAACAGCTCAATAGCAATTTAAAATTAACAAAAAAATAGCAATAATTTCAATAATATATACAAATAAACAATTGTAATAAAATTGTGATACATCACAAATAGTGAGAAAAATACCTTGAGCACCACAAATAATGAGAAAAATACTTCAAGGTAATTGAGGAGATTATGGCTATGGCACGAGCATTATAGCAAGACCGTAGAAGAATCCGCGATTTCCATTGTCTTCAAATAAGAAAAAAAAGAATAAAGTGAAAACAATACAGTGAGTATAATGAGAAGAAAAGAAAGAAAAAAATACCTCAAGGTGAATATAGGGAGGTGAATATGTATCAAGTATAATGGCTAGAAAAAGAAGAAGAAGAAAGAATATAGCGTTTGAGTATAAAAAGAAGAAAAATAAGAAACAATACCTGAGGGTTTGAAGGGATAAGCTGAGATGTGCGGACTGAAAAATGAGTAAACTATCGATTATAAATGTGAAAAAGAGGAGCGAGACTTTCAAAATAATAAAAAAAATATTAAAATAGAACAATTTATATATATAGAAAATAGAGTTAGCAATGCCTTTTGTCAGATTAAAATTTGTTAACAATTATTATATTATGATTGTATTAAGACATAGCATACTAATAATTTGCTAACGTGACTATATAAATTTGGTTTCTAAATCAGTCTCTGTTTAATAAATTTCTTGTAGTGTAATTAATTGAAGAATATAATATTATCTATGATAACATGATTTTAATTACTTTGTGGATGGACTTCAACAATTCATTTTAATAATTGTATAGAATATGATACTTTCATTTTATATAATATTATTTATTTTTTAATTAAATATTTTTACTAAAAGTAGAATGATATTTTTTTTATAACATTACAATAATTTATAAATACGAATTTCATTTGTCTAATATAAAATTTTGTATTATATTTTATTCTTTCACACATTTTTATTTTAGTTTTATTTTATTTAATGTAAAAATATTTAAACAATACTTATTTCATGAATAATTAGTAAAAAAAAAAAAACTCACATACGTATATGTCAGTTACTTACTAGTTATAAGATTAAAAAAATAAATTTGTCTATAATTTTAATCAAGAGTCATAGTGAATTTATTTTTGGGCCAAGCCATTAAAAGTCAAATCCACATGATATATACACCTCCTTTTTTCTATAAGTACACCTCCTTTAAAAAAAATAATTAAAATTTTAAAATTTTCTTAATTTTTTGTTTTAAATTTTTTAATTTTACATCCACAATATTTAATTTATTACTTTTTTTCACATATCCTTCTTCCTTTTTTCAATTTTTACATGCACCCCCTTATTTTTCCTTCACCCTGCCTATTTTGGTAGTATTTGAAAATTGAAAGAGAAAAAAAAAAGTGTGCGAATAAGAAGAAGAAAGTAGTAAATTGAAAGTTGAAAGTGTAAAATTAATTTTTTTAAAAAAAAATTATAATATTTTATAATCTTTTTTAAAAGAAGGAGGTGTACTTATAAAAAAAAATGAGGTGTATATCATGAGCCTTGCATGTTTTCAATTCCGTGCTGCGCTGAGCTACAGCTTTTGATGTAGGTTGATGATATATACACCTCCTTTTTTCTATAAGTACACCTCCTTTTCAAAAAAAATAATTAAAATTTTAAAATATTTTTAATTTTTACTTTTTTTTTTAATTTTACATTCACAACATTTAATTTAGTACTTTTTTTTTACAGATCTTTCTTTTTTCTTCTTTTTTTCTTTTTTCAATTTTTACATGCATCCCGTTATCTTTCCTTCACCCCACCTATTTTGGTAGCATGTAAAAATTGAAAGAAAAAAAAAAGTGTGTAAAAAAAAGAAAAAATTAAAAAATTGAAAGTTAAAGGTATAAAATTAAAAAATATATATATAATATTTTATAATTTTTTTAAAAAAATAAAGAAGGTGTACTTATAAAAAAAAACAGGAGGTGTATATATCATGAGCCTTCCAAAAAGAACTTTCCGTCAGAATAATTACGGAAAGTACTTTCCAGAATACTAAAATTACTATTCCGGAAATAACTTTCCGTCAAAATAATTATGGAAAATACTTTCCGTAACACCAGAATTACTATTGCGAAAAATTCTTTCCGGAATATTCACAATGTGTGTATTTGTTACCATAATTCCGGAAAGAACTTTCCGCAATAGTAATTTTAGTGTTACGGAAAGTACTTTCCAGAATTATTCCGACGGAAAGTTATTTCCGAAATAGTAATTTTAGTATTCCGGAAAGAACTTTCCATAATTATGTACAAATACACCTCCGAAAAAAATTTTACAGGATAATTTTTTGTTATTTCAAATAATATTAAGGATAATTTAGGAATTTAATATTTTTTTAAAAAGGGGGTGTATGTATAAAAAAATGGAGGTGTATATATCATCAGCCTTTGATGTATCTTCAGTTTATTTCTTTCGTGGATTTTAGATGTTGGGCTTCTTAAGCCCGTTTTATATTAAAAGGAAAACCACATTTTATTTAGAAGGCTCGTGATATATACACCTCTATTTTTTTATAAGTACACCTCCTTTATTTTTTTAAAAAAAAATTATAAAATATTGTAGTTTTTTTAATTTTTAATTTTACACCTTCAACTTTTAATTTGTTATTTTCTTCTTCTTTTTCACACATTTTTTTTCTTTCAATTTTCACATGCTACCAAAATAGGTGGGGTGGAAGAAAGGTAAGGGAGTACATGTAAAAATTGAAAAAAAAAATAAGAAAAAATGTGTGAAAAAAAAGTACTAAATTAAATATTGTGAATGTAAAATTAAAAAATAAAAAATAAAAATAAGGATAAAAAATTAAGAATATTTTAAAAATTTAATTATTTTTTTAAAAAAAGGAAGTGTACTTATAATAAAAAAAAGGAGGTGTATATATCATGAACCTATTTAGAAACGTATTTTGTTGGGCTTTAGTGTATTAGGAACTTCCACACTACCAATGAAAATATCAAATTTTAAATAGGAACTTATAACTTGATTCGGTTAAAGCCTAGTGTAATTTGATCTATTTGAAAACAAGTCAAGTTTTGACTTTTAAAATAATCTATTTACTTAAAAAGGTCAACCTAAGACTTTCTTACTTGACTTTAGAACAGTTTGTGAAATGAGTAGATTCTACATTTGTACCTGCTATTGCTGGACTACCCTTATTATCTAAACATCCAATCAAGGAGGATTATTGAGAATGATCTCCTTGCAAACCTCTTAAATGATAGAGAGAGGGTTGATTGTAATACTTGGGTTCTTTGTCAGACGCTTGTGTCAGACGCTTGTGTTCATATTGTTGTAAATTTAGAAATTTAGAGCGCCATAAAGAATCCTGGATTGTAGGCTCTCAATCATCCTCTTCATCTATAGATTGCTTATCCTCAAGGCATTCCAATTCCCTCAAATCCTCCAAGTTTGTGCTATTAGTGCGTACTTGCTTAGATGAAGGGACAGACCATTCAAAATCTTCAAGTGTTCTATCATCTGCCTCCACCATTGAGAAGTTGACGTTGATTTGGACTGCATTAATCATAAACTCTATGGAGATGTCTTGTATAGGCTTAAGACGAAAAAGTTCCACAAGGTTGGGAAATAGTGAAGTAGTCTACATTGGAGCAGTAGAAGAAACATCAAGATTCATGGCCTCAACTTCAAATTCACAAGCTTCTGATGGTTGGTCAGATGGAACCTCCCCTAAGGGACAACTTGAGGTTCCTCTACCTCTTAAGTCAAGGATGTCTCCTACATCACTTAATCTTAAGTCTACATTTGAGCAATAAAAAAACTTATTTTAGCCTCAAGTTATTGAACCTCCAAGGCGAAAAAAACAACATCCTTCATAGCCCTTTGCTTGGCTTCCTCAACAAGGAAGGCTTTTAATCTTTTAACAGCTTGTTATTCTTAGCATTAGCTTGGGTTGGTCTGGGTCCTCTAACTAGATGCCTTTTTCATTTGAGTGGAGTATGCGCTTGTGAAGGGGTAGACAAAAGAGGTGCGAATGAAATGCGGGTAGGTTGAGGTTGTTGCTATGGTAGTGCTAATATGGTTGTTTGCTGGGTGGATTATGTTTTGGATGTTCTGGGGATAAAGGGAGCTTCATCAGAGTTAGATGAAGACATATGAATGTGTAGGGCTTTGGGTACAAATGATGTAAGTTTGGGTTGTGTTTGGGGTGTTGTTTGTGGTTTTTGTTTTTGTTGTGGTTTTGGAAAAGGTTTAGGTTAAGGTTTGGATTGTGTAAGTGTCTAAACTTGAGCACTCTTGCTGGTGTGAGAGGTAGCACCAACTGTTGAAATTGAGGGCTCTTCCTCTAGTTCTTCCTTCACCTAAGTTTTTGTCCTCTTGACAAACAGGAACAAGTGTGTTATGCCCATTCTCCTGAGGGTAGTCACAAACATTTCCCCTCCTTTAGGACTAGATTAAAGCCCCTAAGTATCAATCCCAACTCATTGGATAATCTTAGAGAAAATCATCCCATAGCGAATGAGTGCTCTAGTGCTTTAGTCCTAGTTCCTCTACCCAAGGCAAGACTTAGATCAAGGCAAGCAGATTGATCTTCTCACCAAGGTTGAGGAAGTACAAACAAAATCTATCCAGGTCTGACACATGATCTCTCGACCTTGTTCTTGGCAGGAATGTGTTGAACAACAAGTTATGGAATAACCTACATAGATGAGTAAGGTTAGTAGCCTAAAGGAATCTTTTCAACTCACCCTTGTTAGATGGGCGAGGCCCATTATTGTAGATTAGGGCCTCCACTGTATCTTGGGTGATGATCATTTCCCAATTAGTGTAGATTTCTCCTTTCTTATTGCATTCAAAGATGGTGGTAATGACCAGTGGAGTGATTCTAATGGTCCTATTCTCCATGATTCCAGTGATGGAGTGGTGTTCCTAGAATGTCGATGCCTAGAAGTTGGCATACGGAACGTGAAACTAGTCACACTTGATTTCAACGAAAGAGGTCCAACCTGCGATGTCCAAGTAGTGTTTTATAGGAAAACCTTCATCTTGCATCTTTTAGGCTGCAATGGTCTTTTCGAGAAGGAAGATAAATTTTGGGTATGACTCCAAGGGTACTTTCCTTTCGAACGAAGCAAGCTTAGGTGCCATTTTTGGGTTTAGTGATCTAAGAAAACTTTTAGGGTTTATGAAGAATTTTTGAGATGTTAAGAAAGATTATGAACAGTAAAGAATGAAAGAATTCATAAAGGTGAATATGTGAATGTAAAAATCGTTTTGAAAATTTAAGTTCATGGGAGAAAGAGATTGGGTAGCCTAACAATTGTGGTAGATATGTAGGTTGATGTGGAATGACACAACGCACTATTGTCGCTCCACGTCTCAATACGTTACCTTTTTTGTCATTCAATGTGTTCATGATTAATAACATTTAATGCCCTTTAAGTCACTTGTTATCT